AGTTAATATTCGAAATTCTATCGCACGATGCATTGTAATGGGCCATAAAAATATTGCTTTATCCATTTTACCTATCCCTAGTCTGGTTTTTTATGGTACTTTTTATCGATTACATGTCTTGACATCGTTTGTGTAAAAATTATATGTAAATATGTATAATAAGCCGAGTAACTCTACAAAGTACTTTTTGGAGTTTTACTTTATGAAGTGATCTATCTTTATTCTGATTTTGCATTAAACGATTGTTGATCGATGAAATATTATATTATTTTAACTTTAAACATGGTGTCATCACATAAGATGCATTTTTTTATTGATTTATATTTTTATTGTGGATCACTGATAGACAGAGCTTGCTTAGTCATTCACTTATATTTGTGCTTTGGCCCTATAGATACTCTCAACAATGTTATCCTGTCCTTTTCTAAGAAGCCTTTCTCCTGCAACTATTCAAAAAGAAGCTCCTAAGCTGCTGAATTATATCCAATTTTGTCCTTTTGCAAGGCGACTTTTTGATAGGGCTCATTTTTGTACCGCTTATTCGCCAGCTTGTCAATCGCCTGACGCATCTTATTCTCCATCTGCTATTGCTCACTGTGGTATATTTTTTTAATGAATTTTCCCCATATTTTTTATTATTTCTGAATAGAATCTTTTCGGCCAATCATTTTCTTCGTTTTTTGAAATATTTTTATTTTAGAAGATGTTAATACGTGCAATTTGGTCAAGTGCCCCTATATTGGCTTCAAAAATTCTATAAGATCAGATTGTCCTTCTCATATTGCTTCTGAAAATCCAAAGTTTGAAGAAGGTATCTCAATGTACCTTTGTTAATCCTTTCCTTACTTTTGCTATTCACTCGAAATTTTTATTTTTTGTTGAATATTTCAGATATTCCGTCAACCTGCGCCTTATTTTCTGGTTGGCAGGTCAAGGAATTAAAAAAAGAAGCTACAAGTCTAGAACCTATTCTTACTATGAATACTGAGTTAGAAAGTTCATCTGAAAATGTAATGAGCAAAAACAAAGATCGATTTAATTATTCGGAGTTTTTTCACAAGGAAGTTGAACTCAAAAAACAGGATTCAACCTATCGAGTTTTTCGGCGAGTTCTTAGAGATGCCAATGCCTTTCCATATGCAGAAGATTTTTCCACAGGACAAAGGCGTCGAGTGGTTGTTTGGTGCTCAAATGATTATTTAGGACTCAGTTGGCATCCAAGAGTTCAAGAGGCAGCTATGTATGTGCTAAATTTAGCGTATCATTTTCCTAATCTTTAAATATTTTTATCATCAATATAATCGTTTTCTTTCTTCCAAAACTTTAATGTAAACGATTCTATTTGGCGAGTGCTTTTTCTTTTATGATATTATAACAAAATCATCTAAGCCTAATTTTTTAGCCTATGCACCATTTGGAATACCGGT